TAGAAGGATGTGCAGCTGTGACATACAACTATCTAGTGGGGTCTTAGGGAGAAAAAGGGAAAAAAAGGAGGAGGATTGGCAATAGATGTTAGCGCAGGGCCAGTCTTCCTCAGCAAAAAGAGGAGGATTGGCGTGAATGTTGGCTCAGGGCTGATCTTCCTCATTAAAAAAAAAATAATAATAATAATAATAAAATAATAAAAAGATTTCAATCTTGTAATTATAAAAAAAAAAAAAGGCAATTTGAGTGGCTATATAGAACCCAATTTTTAAAAATATAAGTTTCAGGACAACCATTTAAAAAAAGATTTTTAAAGATTTCCCTTTTCTTGAGGGAAGGGAATGCTCTTTTAAACCTTTTTGTTTTACTATGAACACATGAACACAGTAAAATAAGAATTCACATGCAATATAAACAAAAAACTAAGAATCCCCTACTCACCTCACCCCCTATAAAATGACTGTTAATAGTTTCTTGTGTTTCCTGCAAGAAAATAAAATTTTTTAATAGGAGAGGGCTTGCCTGGTATGGGGCCCAAAGGGTCTTCTGGGGTGGCGGGTGTACAGGTACACTCAGGCCATGACCATTCACCAAGCAGTGTACTTTTCTGTATGTATATTTCAATGAAAAGGTTAAAAATGGGAGGGCATGGGCCGGCCCTGTGGCTTGGTGGTTAAGTGCGCGCGCTGCGATGCTGGTGGCCCGGGTTCGGATCCCGGGTGCGCATCGAGGCACCACTTCTCCGTTCATCCTGAGGCCGAGTCCCGCATACAGCAACTAGAAGGATGTGCAGCTACGACATACAACTATCCACTGGGCTTTGGGGGGAAAAAATAAAATAAATAAAAAAAAAATGGGAGGGCAGAGGAGAAGCAAAGTCATTTGAAACTAAGAGTAGAAAGAGAAGCAAATACCTGACCAGCAAGACCTTCTGAATAGTTTACAACTAGAGTTAGAAGGTGTCATCTTCCAAAAAGAAACAAGTTTGAAAAAAGTATCCATCAGCACTCCCATGGAGACTAGAGAAATTATGGATATATTGTTGCATTAATATTTTCCAGATAAGAATTCTTTTCAGTACCTAAGGGACAATTATCTATAGACTATTTTATAAAATGAACTTGCTTTCTTCTCACAGTTATTTTCAAGATGGGTTCAAATTTCAATAAATTGCTGCCCAAATAGATTCTATTTCAAGAATGCAGGAAACAAAAAAGAGGAACACAATTTGATTTTTAATAACAATAACTATCCAAAAAGAAATAGAACTAAAAGAATTTCTTTCTTTAATGTGGTCTTTTAAGGATGACAAAATACCTTTCTTTGGTCTTCCTGTGGAAACAAAGGGAACAAAGACTTTCTCAAACATTTGTTCTGTGTCTCTCGTCCACAACCCCCTCCTCTTTGCTTCTTCACAACTGTGAATTTGTGTTTAGAACATTTATTTCTGGCATCAGTGCACAAAATGGCAAGCTATTCCAAGGGCATGGTCACTAAGAGAGTTTATTTTGGGGCAAAATGAGTGATCCTTCTACTTATAATTTGAAGAGATACTTAAAAATCTCTACTTTGTCACACTCATAGGTGGCTCCCACCATCATTATTTAGAACGTTTGGTCCCTCTGTACCACGTGGGCCCTGTGTGAGCTGGAAGTTGGTCTCAGGTGAAAAGACGGGAGTCGGAAATGCTGACAGGATGAAACTAGGACTGACCCTCATTTACTGTTACTCCCCCCTCTACCTGACCATCTCAGCTCGGTGCTGTGACCACCTCAAGGTGTCTGTCACGTTTCTGCCAGCCTCCACAACAGGGCACTTAGGATCCATCAAGCACTGGTTCAACTGTTGACAGAGACCCCAAACCACTTGCTGCAGAAAGCACTGGCTCCCTGTTCAGACCCCCTTCCTATCACCCCACAGACACTGAGCAAATGCCTTAAGGTTTGTGGCAGCATATTAACCCTACTATATGCTCATTGGGTTTTCAAACACATAGGTCTCTCTTTAATCACCAGTGTAGGACATCTGGGCTTCAAACAACACTGAACTGGCCTGCCAGCCAGCTCCTATCAGAGGTCATGCTAAAAAGAATGATCTTTAGGGGAGGAGTCCTGATCCTGGAGTTATCAAAGGCACTTACAAATATTTGCTGAATCAAATTTAGCATTTGAACTTAGCCAGAAAGAGCCCCAGGAGTCCCAGCATCATTTTGCAGATCAGCATTTTACTTGAAAGCACGGCACATGGACATAAGCAGGATCAGCTTCAATGAAGAGTCTACATCCCAGGCTCGCTTTCTGCAAGCGAGGAACCAAGATGGATAAACCATTAGGGCTTTGTGGATTCCTTTCAGAAAGAGATGTTGAGAGAAATGAGAGAGGGGCCGGCCTCGTGGCGTAGCGGTTAAGTGCGCGCGCTCTGCTGCTGGCAGCCCGGATTTGGATCCCCGGCGCCCACCGACGCACCTGCTTGTCGGCACGCTGTGGCGGCGTCCCACATAAAGTGGAGGAAAATGGGCATGGATGTTAGCTCAGGGCCAGTTTTCCTGGGCAAAAAGAGGAGGATTGGCATGGATGTTAGCTCAGGGCTGATCTTCCTCACAAAAAAAAAAAAAAAAAAAAAAAAAAAAGAAATGAGAGAGATAAGATCTAGAAATGGAGAAGCCAGCACTTAAGAGAAGACATTGCCTGATAAGCAGCCAGCTTTCTATTCAGGTAGGAGAGCTGTCACCAACAAAGTGGGACTTCTGGGCTATTTTAGCAGAGCAAAGACATGCACTGTCCTGAATTCCAAGCTCTGAGGATTCCTCTCCACATTGTGTTCCCTGTTGCTGCTGCAATGTAACAATGCTGTATTAACCTGGTCTAAACACATCTCAGCCTTCCAGAAGCCACACTGCTGCTAACAGGTACACTGAGGCTCAGACAGTCTCCAGGACACAGCACCCAGTCAGCAATGACAGCATCACCCTTCTCAGTCTCCTTTCAGGTCTAAGTATCTTTTATTTCTCAAATCGTCTAACATCCAGGAATTTCCTTCCAACCCAGACAGAGGCACGCTGTTGCTAAGCAACTTCAACAAGTCATATCTGAAGTCTATGAGTGGGTGTGGTTAAAATAAACATGGTGACAAAGTCACTGCAAGTTACAACTGGGAGAGGCTAAAGATAGGACACACTCAGACCTTTTAAATAAGTGTCTGTATTTTTTTATTCTGGCTTGTTGACACCAGACTATGCCTTGACTTCGTTACTTACAGGTTTTAACTGCCCTCACAGAAATCCAGCATGTCTGAAAGCTCAGCGGGATGGAACTCAGCAAACCATGGCCCAACAGAGAAGGAGCTCAGGCACACTGCATTCTCAAAGAGCCAATTTGCACATTAATTCTGATGGCTACAAAATCCTAGAATAGGAGAGATGAAGACCTATGTGCACTGCCATGACTGATCTGTCCATTTGGAAAGATGACTGGGACTCATATTCCAGCGACCTTTGAGTTTCTTCTAGTCTTTAATCCCATCTTCTCTAACTGAGCTTAAAGCAATTCAGGGTGTGTGTGTGTGTGTGTGTGTGTGAGAGAGAGAGGGAGAGAGAGAGAGGGACAGAGGGAGAGGGACAGAGGGAGAGAAGATACATGTTTTTGCTTCAGCCCCTTTAATTCAATGCTGTTCAAGACTCCCTCTCTTCCTGCCTCGCAGGCCAGTACTATTGGCCAAAGAACTTCTAAAACATATCTCTACATCACAAAGTACTAGAGGGACTGTGGTATCTCTATAGATGGCCAGGAGTCACATAAGTTTCCGGGTTCAGTCAGTTAAGCATTAACTGGAGGGTTTCTGCCTTCAGTGCTCTGGTAAAACATCAGCAACCCACAACGTTCCCTCCAATTCTGACACTCCGATTAATAACCACTCCTGGTACCACAGGGAACTAACATGTGGGGCTGTTATCCTTTTCCTTCAGGACAAACGAGTAACAATATCATAAGGCTCAAGGACTTGGCAAGTGAAAACAGATCAATGAACCAGCTAATGTCCACATTTATTGCAGAGTAACTCCTTGCCTCATCTCCAGGTCCTGGGCTCCCTCACCTACTGGGCACACAGATATTTGTTGCAGGTGGTCCAGAGAAGGCCCACAGCCTCCCTGAAAACTTTCACAGGGGGACAAACCACAGAAGCTACAGATTCCCTCTATTCCTTGGGAAGTGCCCAATTCGGCCGAGTGGGTCAAAGTTGTCGGGTCTGCATGGACAGTCTGTAAACTACCAGAAACATAAGGAATTGATTTGTCGTAATACCAAAAGGTACAGCTGAAGGCGTAAGACGTGGAGACAACCAAGACAGAGCCCCCGGCTTTCAGGAGTTCACCGGCGGGCAAACAAGTCGGCTGATAACTACAATCCGTGCAACAAGTACCAAACCCGAGGCCAGGCCGGGAGAGGCGGCGGCGAATCGCTGAACTGAGAAAAGGCCAGATCCTTAACCCCGAGCGAGACCCGGCGGGTAGCGAGGGGCACGCTGCCCTCTGGCTGCAAATTCCCCACCAACTCCTCCTGGGGCCTGGCACTGAGGTGCCCCAGGCAGAAGCGCCGGCTCCCCCCAAACGCTGAGACCCGCGCCCTCCGCACTCCGGGGTCTAGGGCCGCTGCCCCCCTCACCCCCGGCAGGCGCGAGTCCCTGGCCGGCCTGAAGCACCGCGGAGAGGTCCGGGCACCGGCTGGCGTGGGCCGCGCCCCGCCCTCCCTCGACCGGACGGGCCGTCCCGCGCCCCGCCAGGGCCGCTTCGCCCC